TGCCTATTTCTCGTTGTTCGCTTTGTGTTGCCGCAGTATTCGCCACAATATATATAAAGTAGGGAATATAATCAAGCAAAGGGTAAAGTTGGCCCCCTAATTCATTTTTAACAATTGGCCGAAAATAACGGGTGATTTTTTAAGAGCTTGATAACTTTTTTTTAAAAAAAAACGCATAAAATTTGCAAAATCTCATCGGTTCTTTATTTGAAACGTTAGATTGGTCCATGACATTTACTTTTTGAAGATAATTTCATTTAAATGTTGACCGCGGCTGCGTCTTAGGTGGTCCATTCGGAAAGTCCAATTTTGGGCAACTTTTTCGAGCATTTCGGCCGGAATAGCCCGAATTTCTTCGGAAATGTTGTCTTCCAAAGCTGGAATAGTTGCTGGCTTATTTCTGTAGACTTTAGACTTGACGTAGCCCCACAACAAATAGTCTAAAGGCGTCAAATCGCATGATCTTGGTGGCCAACTTACCGGTCCATTTCTTGAGATGAATTGTTCTCCGAAGTTTTCCCTCAAAATGGCCATAGAATCGCGAGCTGTGTGGCATGTAGCGCCATCTTGTTGAAACCACATGTCAACCAAGTTCAGTTCTTCCATTTTTGGCAACAAAAAGTTTGTTAGCATCGAACGATAGCGATCGCCATTCACCGTAACGTTGCGTCCAACAGCATCTTTGAAAAAATACGGTCCAATGATTCCACCAGCGTACAAACCACACCAAACAGTGCATTTTTCGGGATGCATGGGCAGTTCTTGAACGGCTTCTGGTTGCTCTTCACTCCAAATGCGGCAATTTTGCTTATTTACGAAGCCATTCAACCAGAAATGAGCCTCACCGCTGAACAAAATTTGTCGATAAAAAAGCGGATTTTCTGCCAACTTTTCTAGGGCCCATTCACTGAAAATTCGACGTTGTGGCAGATCGTTCGGCTTCAGTTCTTGCACGAGCTGTATTTTATACGGTTTTACACCAAGATCTTTGCGTAAAATCTTCCATGTGGTCGAATAACACAAACCCAATTGCTGCGAACGGCGACGAATCGACATTTCACGGTCTTCAGCAACACTCTCAGAAACAGACGCAATATTCTCTTCTGTACGCACTGTACGCATTCGTGTGGTTGGTTTAATGTCCAATAAAGTAAACTGAGTGCGAAACTTGGTCACAATCGCATTAATTGTTTGCTCACTTGGTCGATTATGTAGACCATAAATCGGACGTAAAGCGCGAAACACATTTCGAACCGAACACTGATTTTGGTAATAAAATTCAATGATTTGCAAGCGTTGCTCGTTAGTAAGTCTATTCATGATGAAATTTCAAAGCATACTGAGCATCTTTCTCTTTGACACCATGTCTGAAATCCCACGTGATCTGTCAAATACTAATGCATGAAAATCCTAACCTCAAAAAAATCACCCGTTATTTGATTGGCACAGGGTGTATTTAACGCATTTGTTTAAGGTGTGTTTAATACGCATTGGTTTGGCATTTCATAGAAAACCATTTTACGGATCCGGCAACGCTTACACACGATTTTCATCAAGTGTGCACCCTTTCTCTTGCTCTTTCCTCCCAATTCGGCACGGCTCTCTTTCTCCCTTTTCCACACACACACTTTTCACACGCATTTGACAAAATAATAAAAACAATTTCCGAATTCTAGTGAAAAGTTTTATACATTGCCGTCTGAGAAAGGCTATGCAAAAAGTTTTCATTTCGTCCGAAACAATGTCAAAATAGTAAATTAAATAATTAATTGTGAATTATTTGTCTGTTCTGGTTTAAAAATATGTCGAGAATCGCAATCAAAACAGAGAATCTGGATGATGAGCAGGAGGAGATTGGCATTGAAAGTAGAGCCGCAGAAGAGGATGGTGTTGGTCGCCAGGAGCAAGAAAAGGGTACTTCGTCAGCCGAGCTAAGTAATTTGGTTACGGCAGGTAAACAGCACATTGAGGTGGGTCGAAATGTGAACATGGCGACGCGCCAGCTACAACAAATTCAGCCGCAACCTACTTCTTTGTTGAAAATGACTGGCGGAGGAGCCGGTGGCGGCGGTAGTGGTGCGGGTACGGGTGCGGTTGATAGTAACAGCCGTCTGGTCAACTCCGGCCATGATACCAATAGCACTAAAAAACCTACATTACCGAAATCACGCTGCGGAGAAGTCTTTGTATCCAATAATGCACGCCAGTGGACATTTATTTGCACCTATTGCAACAAAAGCACACGTGACATCGGCGAATTTATATGCCACATAAAAATCAAACATTTGGGTGGCTTTGCGGATGATGGTGGTGATGAAACAGACGATGGTGGAGAGTACGAGGGAAATCAACCAAATTTCTATGAGCAGGATCAAGATGTAAGCAAAGAATTTCGAAGATCATTCAAAAAAACTGCATTCTATAATTTGCTAGTGCTGTACACCCTATAAAGCACTCAAAAGTTTGAGTATTAGGATAATCTTTAATTAATTCATCGGGCTAGTATATGTAAAAACGTATGTACATTCATACAACATGCATACATATGTACATTAATGTATTAATGAGTTTCGCTTTGCAACATTTGCAAAAAAGCAAATCAATGTGTGTTTATCGATTTTTTTTTTTAAATAGAGCAGGCTTCTTACAGTTCGTTTCATCCTTTTATGCTTGTCGTTACAGTGTACACAATTCATGCGAATGTACCATCGCTTATGAAAAACGGATAAAAATCAGCAAAGAGATCGTTGATGTGTTCGCACGGCTGAAGAGGGTTGAAATAAACCGGTTTCAGTTTTCTTAAAGTACATTTCTTGCCTTAGTTTTTCCCTTACTTTTTAATCATGGTGTATTTTTTTAACCGACTTCCAAAAAAGGAGGAGGTTATCAATTCATCGGAATATTTTTTTTTTTATGTATGTTGTATGTTACCGCATAACTTTGGACCACGTCAACCGATTTCGATAATTCTTTTTGCATCGGAGAGGTAGTGTCTCAGAGGTCCCATACTTATGTGGTTTAGTTTCGATCATTGGATCATGAAATATACATATATATATACACACATATATTATATATATATATTTATATGAGAATTGAAGTCGGTTTTGTTTTTTGCTTAAAAATTACTTGTTATTGAAATGGTTTATAGTCGTTTGGACGCGGAGAAAAATACTTCGTTTTTAAACTAAGTTTATTTAAACGATATAGCGAGCCAATTTTTTGCATATAGTAATATATTGGGCACGATGGTATTAAATTAATAATCCTTTCCATGGATAGCTACATATATACCTATGTTCACATAAATATGGATGCATGTGAACTTTCTTTCAAAAGCCACTTTGATTTCATAAACTCAAAATCGTATGCTTGGCTTCGTTAGCTATAATGCAGAGTTTTCCAATCCTAAAAATTGGCATTCCCATATCGATGGTTCTGTGCAATAACAAGACAATTCAAAAAATAAAAACTGTCACTACTGTTAAGTGGCTCATGCCTCTAATCCTTGTCGAATCCATGTCTAACCTTTTGTAATTACTTTTGCAATCCTTACTACTTACCTTAGTAAGGGATGGAAATGGATTGGACAAAGATTAGAGACAAGAGCAACTTAACAGTAGTAACAGTTTTTGTTTTTTCGAATTTTGAATTGCGTCGTTATTGCACAGGACCATCGGTATGTATGGATGTGTGTACATATTTTATTGCCTGCAGACTATAAATAAGTTAATAGTACAAACAAATATTTTTAAAGCAAGCTTTCTAAATATGAACCAAATTCGGGTTTTTCAAGTATCTCGATTCATGCGCCACCTATCGGATCAACTCATCTTTCGTATTGTATTGTCATCGGGTTCTGAGCCAACTGTGAAGTTTCAGGTCTCTAGGTCATCGGGAAGTTGGTCAAAAATTGATTACGAGATTTGCCCCCTAAAACATACTTACATATGTAAATAAAAGCTTGTAAGAACACCATATATTTTTTGGTAAATCAAATTGGAAAAAGCAACAACAGTTTTTCTTTGAAACCCAAAGTACCTACGAATGAAGCCTTATTAGAAGATGTGGTTATATCTGAAATAGCAGATATGTATAACCTCTACCACTTTCATGTTGAATGCTTCAACTATATATTGTAAATCAGCAAACGTCACTATCAATGCCAAAGACATTTTTTAATAAACCTCGTAAGGTCGCCCTCAGCTACACTTCGAAACTAAAATTCAAAATAAAAGATTTATTTGCGTTTCAAGAACGGCGCTAGTAAGCGCTTTCTAAGCTAATTTAAAAAGTTTTTTGATAGATTCCTTTGCCACGTTTATTTTCAAGTCCATTTGTTCGTTGTAATCTGTTTGGTTTTTATATAAACATACCAAATCTAACACTCTTTCAAAATAGTATTTGGATTGCGGCAGCTATCTGGATGTGAACGTACACACAGAGTCCGAAGACTACAGTTTAAATGGCCAAGATCACTCGTCTTCATACCGACATTTAAGCACTCATAATCTAACACAAAGACTACCGGTGATCGCTGCGGCAGTCTCAAAGCAAGAAGAAGTAAAAAGACAAGCTGATTTTAACAAAAAAAGGAAACTTAATAGTGCCGAAGATGACACTTTGGACGGCGAAAATGAATACGCTTTTGGCACTGCTAAAGAATCTGCCGCACAATGGCGTGCCGATCCAGCCAATTTCCAATCATACGCAAATAAATACACTTTAAAAACCTCCACCCCAGATGCTAACATGAAAAACAATGCCATAGCAAATGGCAGCGCTGCTTTTGACGCTACCGACTACACTTCGAATAAGGACGATTTTGATGCAGCCGGCGCCTATGAAAACGACGATGAAGAAGACTTTGATAATCAATTGCTGATTGCGCCCACTGACTCATTAGATGCGAGCATACTGGGTGCCACCCAAGATGGTAGTGGCGGTGAAATGAAAGCTAAGCGTCGCCAAATACGCGGTACCGCCTACTGTGCCCTGTGCAACAAAACCTTCCAATACTACTCACTGTATCGCAATCATATGATTAAACATTCTAATGAAACACCGTTTAAGTGTCCTATTTGCAAAAAAGGATTCAAGTCAAAACAGGCCATACGCTATCACATGAATACACATCAGAAAGAGAAGCAATTCAAATGCACCGTCTGCAGTGCATCGTATGGCACTGAGAACCACTTCATCTCCCATATTATGACTCATGAAAGCGCAACTGCATTTCCATGCATGGTTTGCGGTCAGGTACTAAGCAGCAGTAAGGAGCGCGATATTCATATGGCTAACCATAAGGAGGAGCGACCATTTCGTTGCGACTACTGCAACAAACTCTTCCGTTTACGCCACCATTTATCCAACCATTTGAAGATGCACCGCAAATACCGTTGCGATTATTGCAAGGAGATATTCACCAGCGCTATTTACTTGCGTAAACCTTACGCTTGTCCAGGGTGTGAAAGTTCACCCGATGCGCAGCAAGATGCAGCAAATGCTGCAAGTTTAAAAGCTGCACGTCTTGCTGGCAGCAAAAACGTAAACCCATTGGAAATTTTCGAAACGGTCATACCAGGACAACAACAACATGGTGATGACTACGCACAGATGGTAACCGACTCGGAAGGTGATGGGGAAGTTGATGAGGATGATGATGAGGGCGAGGACGACGATGATGATGAAAACGATAATGAACAACAAGACTCACCTATGAATGAAGATGGCGATGAAAACGAAGAAAGATCACTAAAAGACGCTGAGCAAGAAGATGCGGATGATGACGAAGATGATGCTGAGGATGATGAAGGAGAATATGAGGAAGGAGGCGCGGGTGGTAGTGGCGACCGAGCTATTGGCCAATATGGTGGCGGTATGAAGCGTTATGTATGCAAGTATTGCCCGCGCAGCTATTCGCACCCAAGCGGGCTAAACTACCACATAAGGCATAAACACTGCTAGTAAAAGAGCACAAATAAGAAGGCAAATTACAGATGAAGGAGCTATAGGGAGGGCATATAATTATTTATAAGAGAAGAGATTTTTTTCCAATTTATGCACTGACAAAAACAAAATATGTAGTTATAGAAAAGAAAAGCCGAGCGCAAAAAATGTTTAAAATAGCTGATTGTATACTATGTAAGAGATTTATTACTTTTAAGCATAAATATTATAAATACATATATTCTTTTAATATTTCTATTATTGTCAGGTGACTACAGACTTAAAATGCTAGCGCATGCCGGTACAAATACAACACAGTCTTTCCTAATAACATCTAGTCTAACCTTAAACCATTATTTTGTACCCACACAGGTAGATATAAACCTTGCATTACAGTGGACTATTGTATGATACCTCTAAGTTGTGCAATTGTTATTATGGGTAGCAGCGATTGCAGCTTATATACTCATGTCTGCGTATGATAACCGAAATTTAATTAGGTAATTAGTGAAAACATGTGGGACTCATTCTATAGCATCGTTCTGGTTGTTACCATGGCAAAAAAAAATTCGATTCGTTTATTAATGAAAATGCTGTCGTAATGCGATCGTCATTGCAAAAGTTTTCCCCCAATGGGCGTGTCTGGCAATCTGCTTAATTCACGTCCATGTAGGAGTGTCACATACACGAGATTGTAGCGGCAGCGATAGCTACGTTAGTAAATACCAAAGCATATATCTTGGTAAAAATTAAATACTCAAATGTATGTATGTAACTTCTGTTTCTTAAAAAAAAAATTAGCAGATTTTACTTTCACGTTCCTTGCATACAACTATTGGTACCCAAACATTTTTTTTTACATATTAACTGAAATTTATACACTCACGTGTACATTATCTTCATTATTTTAGTTATAGTAAACAGTATTCTTCCGAGTAAGCCATCACATCCATCTTGAATCCGACCGAAATGTATTAGAACTGATGTTTGTGAAAATTAAAGAAAAAATACTAACACGCATACATATGGACGTACATTTTTTCTCAAAGCATATTAATTTTTATAAAACATACCGATAAGGCTTGAATAGGCCTTGAAAACTATATTTATGTACATACGTGCATTAAAAAAATAGAGTTACCAAAATTATTGAAGGTTATAGGGAACAAATTTCCGAAAAATCAGTGACTGCCCCAATGTTTTTGTATTACATACATGTGTATGTACATATATCATCAAGTAGTCAGTCATCTAGTGTTTATAAAAGATAAAACACCAATCTGTTTTATTTATTTTTTTGTAATACATACATATGTTAAAGATTTCAAATCTCATTTGAATTTTAGAGCAATATTGTTCTAAATCTGCTAGCGCTAAAAATCTCATTTCTCACATAAAAAGCTCTTATTTTTGATGTTTAAGTTATTATTTTTTATATTTTATTTATTTTATTTTTTTGTTACACTTAAGTCCACGAATATACATGCATACATACTAAGTACAGCTTTGAAATTAATATGAATATGAACAGCTTTTTTACGATTATAGTGAGTTTAAGTGAATTATTAATGTAATAAAAAGGCAATTTTCATTATGAGTTACTCTTAGAATAGCAACAAAAATATGAATGCTGCTAAATTTATTTAAGGCAATTACGCGGAAAAAATATAAATGGCAAAACATAAACGTTTTCCAATAAAAGACAAAAGAAAAAACTAGCAAAGCAAAATTTTTGTAAAACTAGTTATTTACGTTATTATATTTTGGTATCTATCCAAAGATTCTTTACAACTTCACTGCGCCTAAAACACATGTAAAATTGCTAGGCGAAGACTTTGTAACGCTGAAATTAAATTTAAATTTACTTTATACAATTGTATTTACAAGCGAAATTAACTGTCCATACAAATCTTGTCGTTCGATACATGTATGTATGTATGCAGAAACAATTAGGTATATTTAATGCTTCATTTAAAATTATTTTCATTTTTACAACTATATCGTCAATGATCAAGCAAACACCAAAAGCGAGCATTATACGAACATTCAGCTTTCTGCTAAATCATGTTAATAGCTACTATGAATATTAAAAAAATATAAATACATATATGAAAATATTAAATGAGGTTTACTAAACAAAGCTCATACAGTGGTGGAAAAATAAATAGCGACGCGACATTTTAACAAGTTTTGCCTATTTTTCTTTTGTATATTTATTACGTATTATATTTTTAAAAGGGTATCTAACAAAAACCATATACATATTTGAAACTTAGTGCAAAAATTATAAAAATTCGGCAAAGTTACATCTAAATTTTCAACTTTTTAGTCAGGTTTTTTAGAATTTTGCATACTTTGTGTATGTAGTTTTGTTTTTAAATTAAATTTTAATGTATAGAAAAATCGCGTTGTTTTTTGGCAATTTTTTTCACGCCTTCTTTTCCATACAAAGAATGTTCGATAACCTTTTTTGCATGGAAATGCGTAATACAGTCAGAAAAAAATTATCTTAGATAATGAGCTTTACTTTTATAAAAAAAAAAATTATAAATAATATATGTAAATAAAAGAAAAATAGACAAAACTTTTTAAAATGTCGCCTTATTATTTATTTTTCTACCACTGTAGACACAGTAGGTTATTAATTGAATAACTCTTATATAAACGTATTTTTTAATGTGACAACACACGTTCGCCGAAGCTAAGCGAATTTAGCAACGTAACCGAATTCAAACTGTAAATACTACTCCATTGATATTCATTATTAAATAAACATAAAACACAAGTCGTTGTTTGCATTTATATTGCATATTTTTCTGAAATATCGCTAAAGCTACCCTACCTGGCGGATCGCCGTTGATTTCGTTGGGGAGAGTGTTAAGCTTCTTGCAGTGAAGAAGCGAGAAAGGCTGTAGAGATAGCCGTTTACTTTTGAGCAGAGGTCATCAATTCCATTCCCAGACGCCAATATCGAGCTGTCGTCAGCGCATCAGATCAGGTAAACTCTTTCAGGTGTCTGGGGGAGCTTCGAGAACCCCATGTTTTATTCTTCTAGGTTTCGAGGTTTGATCTCGGAAGATTACTGACAACTGTGGACCACTCAAGTAATTCGCCGACCACCGTTTGAGTCGTTGTGGGAGAGAGGAAGCCTCAATGTCTTCTAGGGGCGGTTGCGATTTAGGTCACGAGTTATTTGGGTGCTTATGGCGTTAAGTGCTGTTGATGGGCTATGCACTTTCCGGAAACCATGCTGATGCTTCGCTGGGGTCAGGTGGTGGGTGAAGTACGGGAGTAGAAGGGCCTCTAGTGTTTTCGCGACCGGGGAAAGGAGCGTTATCGGGCAATAAGAGTATCCTTTGGTGGCGGGTTTCCTCGGTTTCAACAGTGGGACCACCCTCCCTGATTTCCACACATCAGGAATGATGAGTGGCCATTGACAGGTAAAGGACTTATATGAGGTATGCTACTCCCGCGGGCTCCAAATGTTTCAGCATCAGCATGCAAATTCCGTCGGGCTTTGGAGGCTTTCGCCTTCCCTTCCTTCACTTCGCCGCTGGTGAAAGTAAGTGGTGCATTGTTTTTGGGCAGCTAGTGCAGCCTCCGACGAGGTTGGAGAGGGAACGGACGGATCATCTGAGCTTACTCACACTAGAGGGGAAGTTACAGGTCTTCAAGTGCTCCCCACTTTTTCCGCTTATACTGATTTATCAGTTGCCGAATCCCTCCAAATTAGGGTCCTTCAGGCGAGGACCCGCAGGATCGACCTGGTGTAGGTGGTCACACTCATTTGCTGCTTCTGCCGGAAAATTTGGGGGACTTCCGCGATGAGTCCGAATGGTACCCAGCCGAACTGGCGTTTGCTAGCGGATGGTGACATTTGGCTTGATCAACAGGGGGCCACAAGGTATTGGGATAATTGATGGGGTTCGACGATCTTAAAGAGGATAGATCGCCGACACAACAGCCCTTGGTCGGGTAAAACTCGAGTCATTCCGGTACGTAGAACCGGCTGGCGTGGGAATGTTTAAATGCCTGCGATCTGCTTCTGTATAGACAGGCAGAACGCAACATATCAAATATCTAACCATTTGGCCGATAATGAGGGCCAGTGCTTACTAATTATGTTCATATGTATGCATGTATGTCTGTACCGTTGTTGTTTAAGGGTTAAAGTGCGCGCTACCATTCCGTAGGGCCTGGGATCTAACCAAAGTTTCCGATTAACATAAAAAATAAAATAAAAAAACGTGTTTTTCTAATAGCGGTCGCCCTTCGACAAGCAATGTAGAGTCTCGTCTTTCGGAGTCAGTGTATAACTGTAGGTGCCTCCCCTTTGTGTGACAACAAGGCGCACACCACAGATCGGAAGAGAAGCTCGGCCAAACACTAATAAATATATTGTGTACGCGCCATTCTTATAAATTATCAGAACTGTTACGATTAATTATATTTTATTCACTGATACCAAACATGACATGCAATCGGTTTTAGTGCATAAAATATTTGAGAATTGAAAATGCCTTACCAATATAACTTTGTAAGGACGAAAACCGCAAATGAAGCCACGTTTCAACATTTCCGGAACAACTCATTTTATATCCGGCATTTCGAACAAAGTTCGTGTTCGTTCGCCATCTGTTTTTTATTTTATTTTTTTTTCTTTGAAATGGATGATTTTATATTTATACTGTGGAAAGCGGTTTTACATGGATTGCGAATTTAAGATACCATCTAAATACTCATATTTAATAAATTATTAAGTAAAAGGGAACTCTTAAAATATATTGAATGCAAAATAAATGCGAAATTTTCGTACCTGGCAAGGCCTTTTGCCGAATGACGACGGAATGAATGAGACGATTGTAAATTTTGCTTTGTGCGGAGGCGAGTTTATTTTCATTTTCATTTTCCAAATTTTTACAGTTTCTGTACGTTTATAATTGCAAAAATTTGCAGAAAAAGTTTACAAGCGCGTCTAAAATTTAAACGCAAAATTACTTAATAGCAGTTTAGCATAAATAGTGAAGCCAACGGCATTTGCTATCACTGGTCGTCTGGCAAAGGCAAAAGCGATTGATTAGCAGAATTGAGAAGGAAGTGCAAGGAGGAAGAGGAAGTAGAGTAAAACGAAAAGTAAAGTCTGTGCTTGGTTGAAAGACGTAAAATAAAATATATTTGTGTGGTCAAGGGAAGGGAAGAAAGTGCACAAACGAATAAATACTTGGGGTGAGAATACTGCAAAGGCAATAGAACAACAAGGTCCACAGCAACAGTGCGAGACGATGCATTTTAAACGTCTCTAAAAAGGAAACAAAGCAGAAAACATATCCAGTCGGCAGAAGGAAGAGGCAAGAAAAGTATCCATCAGACGACGGCGATGACGACTCTGTTGTAGAACGGAAAGCACAAAAAAGTGTGAAAGGTCAGCAGACAGACGAAGAGGAGACGGAAAATAAAGAAACCGTGCAAAATAGTATACTCAGCCAGTAAGCAAAGAATCATACATATTTAATATACATATAAGTATAACGCAATCGTAGCCGCAAAAAAGTATAGAAAATATAATTTACGCCAAATTTTAACGTAAAAATTTATTATGTAGAGCTGTCGATTTCCTTTAAATTGCATGGGCATAGATGAATGTTTGAAATATCCTTGAATGTACTTATATACATACATTTATCCGACAAGACAAGACTAAAAAAATTCATTCATTCCACTTAGAATTGCAGTATACATATTGGCCACAAGTCTGGATTGGTGAGTTTGAAAAGAGCAAATATTTTCTGTATTACTAGCTCAGGTTCGTTATAGTAATTAATAAGGACTTTTTTAGTTATGCAATGAAATGTATATTTACATATATATGTATGATCACAAATTATGCTTTTTAGGAACTCGCCAGTAATCTTATTATTTGCTACTAGCTGCCATTGTAAGCAACCGACCGCGCAAGTGCTAACGACCACCGCCAGATTATCATACATTTCACAGATATTTCTTCGTACCGGAAGCAGGTGTATATATTTAGGACAAGCCGGATCTATAGCATTTGTTGACGACTCTACCAGTCGACCAGTGCACGCTTGCTGGGCCACGTGCGATGTTGCCATTCACCCCACAAGTAGTTAAACGTTTGTTAGCACTCAAGAAGGGCAACGAAGATACGGTCGAGGGGAAGTGGTCAGAAAAGGCGGTTAAAAATCTAGTAAAGAAAGTGAAGAAGAACATACAACTCGAAGAGTTAGAACGTGCCATTTCTACACAAAATTGTAATACACGCTGTGTCACCGTACCGCGTAGTAAGCCAGGCGCTACTGGCGAAAATTTGCGCAAAGGACAACCTCATGTCATATATTGCCGCGTATGGCGTTGGCCAGATCTACAATCTCAGAATGAATTGAAAGCTTTGGATCATTGCGAATACGCTTTTCACTTGCGTAAAGACGAGATTTGTATCAATCCATATCATTACAAAAAGATTGAACTATCGATTTTGGTGCCAAAATCATTGCCTACACCGCCTGACTCAATTACCGATTATCCATTGGATAATCACACCCACCAAATACCTAATAATACAGAGTACAATGCCGCTACTATACGCAGCGCCTCTTTGAGTCCGCCACAGTATATGGAGTTGTCAAGTCACCATCATCAACAACAACAGCATTCGCCGGGTAGTTTAGTTGGTTTGGGCATGAGTGCAGCTCAACAACAACAACAACAAATCAATGGCTCACTTGTAGGATCTGGCGCTTGTAACATGGACTCGCAATCAAGTGTGCTAAGTGTTGGCAGTAGCATTCCCAACACGGGCACGCCTCCACCTGGCTACATGAGCGAAGATGGTGATCCCATTGACCCGAATGACAATATGAACATGTCGAGGTTGACGCCACCAGTCGATGCTAGTCCCGTAATGTACCATGAGCCCGCTTTCTGGTGCTCAATTTCTTATTATGAACTTAACACGCGTGTCGGTGAAACCTTCCATGCCTCGCAACCATCTATTACAGTAGATGGTTTCACCGATCCCTCAAACTCTGAGCGTTTCTGTCTTGGCCTACTCTCCAATGTAAATCGTAATGAAGTGGTTGAACAGACTCGTCGCCACATTGGCAAAGGAGTACGTCTTTATTATATTGGGGGTGAGGTGTTCGCAGAATGCCTCAGTGATTCGTCAATATTTGTGCAAAGTCCTAATTGTAATCAACGCTATGGATGGCATCCAGCTACTGTCTGTAAAATACCACCAGGATGTAATTTGAAAATCTTTAATAATCAAGAATTCGCAGCATTGCTATCGCAATCAGTATCACAGGGTTTTGAGGCCGTATATCAATTAACGCGTATGTGTACCATACGCATGTCATTTGTGAAGGGTTGGGGTGCAGAATATAGACGTCAGACGGTTACTTCAACTCCGTGTTGGATTGAGTTGCATTTGAATGGGCCGCTACAATGGTTGGATCGTGTTCTCACGCAGATGGGTTCGCCGCGCTTGCCATGCAGCTCCATGTCTTAAACACACAGAAACGCATAAAAGGAAAAAATGTGAAGCGAGAAAGATGAAAAAAGGAGTTAGGAGTGCATTAATGCATTAAAATCAATGCCAACCGAGGAGTAACCTATGTTTGCACATATATATGTATGTATGTATTGAATAAGTATACGTAAAAATTAGTGATTCAAATAATTGGAAACTTTTTTTCTAAAATGTTTCAAATGCCCTTAATCGTGGCTGTTTTGTGTGAGATTCCCTAGAAATTAAATTCGAACGGTGTTCACATGAGGCGATTTTCCAGGCAATTTAAGAGGCGATTAGTTGAACCAAAAGTTGGCTGCACCCCAAGCTTGGTCCCCAACTTCATTGGAAGCGGTTAGTTCATACCAGGCGATTGTTGATTTCAACTAAAAGTTGCCTGTAAAATCGCCTCATGCAAACACCATATTAAAGATAGAAGCGATGTTAAAATAAATTTTTGCAATTTATTGCCAATGACAGATACACAGAAACGAAATATTTGCAAGGATTATTCAAATTGTTATATGTACATATAAAGAAGGTAATATAAAAAATAGGACAATGCACTTACAGGTGTATGATCACAGTGGACATAACATTGAAATTCATATTTACTACATAAAGGTAAAGACAGCTCACATTTTGTAAAAAACAATCACACTGTGTAAGGTGTGTATTGTATATTTTTGCAATGAACTTTCACTAATACACAGCTATGCCAACACGAAATAGTACGTATTATTCTCACCCGCAAGGATGTTATCAAGTAGCAAAGCAGTTGAAATTAGGAAACATTAAGAGCTTTTAGATTTTAAACTTTTAACAATAGATTTTGTACCATTTACAGATTTACATGGATCAAGTACATGTTAACTCATACATATGTACATACATATACAATAATTATATATGTATACAAAATAAATATATACAAAACCAAAAACATATATGTACATACATATGTACATATGTAGGTAAAAGAACAGCACGTTTGGGATATTTGCTATAAGCAAATTGTAGGAATTTAAAAATTTTAAACAGATCGTAAGATCTAAAAATGAAAACTTGGCTAAAAACTGCGGGATATTAGCTGTAAAAGTTTGATAAAAAAAAGTCTATATAAAATATGTATGTATAACCATAATTTAAGATGCTCCTTAATAAGGTTTTTTTTGTGCTTTAACAAAATGAAAAAGATATTTACTTGTTATATGTATGTATAGAAGCTGAGCAAAACGTGAAAATACTTGTCACTTACATTTAGTCGGCTGTCTACAATGGAACTAGTTCGCAATAATTATTAATGCAAATATGTGTTTTAAAAAATAATTTAATTGTCGTTTTGTAATACACTTTTTCGATATTGATATATTTTACCATACATTTACAATGGGGTCTTTCAATACAAATTTTTTTGTACATACATATGTAGGTATGCAATTGAAAATTACATATTTTAAAATATTCTGAGCTGTTTAGACGAAAGAAGCTGCAATACAATTTATTTACATACATAAATATGCATAAAAATATATTAAACACATATGGGTGTTTCCAGCGGAAGGTCCACCACGACAAAAAAATAAAAGTTTTATATCTAACGTGTTTACGGGCCGATTTGTCTGGTTTTTTAAATATATACTGGCTATATAAGTAGAATCATGTTTGCGTAAAATGGTCTTCCTAGGTAGTGCCAAGGTCGAGATATTTCGAAAAACCGTATTTATGGTCCGATTTGGTTCGAATTTGGGGTATGTATTTGAAACATAATAAATCATAGATTTCCAACAAATTGACCCTGAATTGGCGCTGAAGTCAAAATATAAAGTATATTCGACGTAAAATACATGTTTTATTTGCGTTAAAAATTCATTTAAAAGCAATATTAACAAAAATATAACGATGGAAATTTATGTCACGTGACGCCCCGTCACGTCACGTTTCACACTTGGGGTTGTTAAAGAAAATTGAAACAATTTGCATTAATTCAAAAAAATCTAAAAACAACTAGAATAGCTCCAAATCATATTAAAATAAGTTTCATGAAAATAGCCATCCACAATTCACAGAGTTTTGCGATTTTGTAAGAAAAGAAAAAATCAACATTTTTTGTCACGTAACGACCCTCTCTTTAAATACTTATATTTCAGGACCAAGCAGTTCGATTGATTTCATTTTTCGGCTAGCTAATTATGTGCTATACAATGGCCCAAAAAAGTTAAAGAAAACAAATGGTATTCCTTTTTTGTATCACATTGAAACGTACGACTGTCACGTACGCGACGTATGGAAATACCCATATGTATGTATGTATGTATATCCACCCACTGTGATCCCGCGTCATGGCATCATGGCCAAATTACAATTCAAGTCAAAGTCAAACAATTAAACTGCCATACATTTTTAAATAATTAGATTTTTAACTACAATAAATGCATTTTTCGTTTACTTGGCTCAAATAAATAAACTCCACAGTTCCAATTGGGACCCAACACCATACCATAACAAAACGACATACATATGTATGTACTGACGCGAAAATCGCTTAAATGTATATATCACAAGCGAAAAACATTAATTAGCCTCAGCATAAAGCCACTTAAAGAATAATTAATTTTTGGTTACAAATCAGTAATACTACGAAATACTATTTTTGGTTATGTAATCTTCTTCGATGTTAAAAAAGTATAAACTTCATATGTTTTATAATATATGTCCGATCATTATTACGGTTAATTTTCCTGTTAAATTTAGTTTTAGTTGAGTTTGGTATCAGCTCGATTAAATATAAGTGAATCTAAGTCCCACTTTATTGCTCTATAATATTACACAATATATGTATACTCCATTATATCAGTAATAATAAAACTAATAAAATAAAAATAAAAAAAAATAAAACTGTTTTTATACCTATGTAGGTGGGATTCCAGAAATTTCAAACGCGTAAAATCTCTAAATGAATAACATATGTGCCTAAAAATATGCAATACGAAATTGGTTCAGTATAAATCCTTACCATAAGATAATGCATAATGTGACCAACCGTACTTCTTTCGGAAGTACAGTACTTATTTTTGAGCCGTTGTACTTTGTACTTCGAAGTACAGTCAAATATACTTCTTGCAATATTTTGTACTACCTTTTAAGTTGAGTTTCGAAAAATTCTAAAAGGTTAGTCATCTCAGTTAAAAATGGTACTCGTAGATCAACACATAGCTGACAAATTGACATTTAGCTGACAAATTTCATTGTAAGGGCCTGTGCCAATCGGTAACTTTTTTCTCCGTCGTGCGACGGGGTGAAAACATTTGCTACGGTGTAGTACAATTAAATTGAATTTTGCTGTGCCGAATGCAAAGTAAAATTTTGACAGTTGAAAAACCAAACAAACGCTCGTGCGAAAGTTAATTTATATTCTTATAACTCCAGTCCACATACATATCGCGAACTTTCTTCAAAGGTGAACTAATTTAATATTTAACTTATCTTGTCAATTTCACTGAATTACGTTTTTCCAAAAGTATTTTCAAAAGTATTTTCGACAGACTTTCTTAGACCGCTTTAATTTAACACCAGAATTGTAATATTTAAAATATTACTCAAATATTCCCGGTAGCAAACTTTCCTAACCGTCTTTATTTTGATACCCATATTGCAATATTTAATTTATCTTAATTAAAACAAACAAAAGTTTGCAAACAGGTGGCAACGTTCCCAAAAAAAATTTCGGCCGTGACCCTTTTGAAACTTCTTTATTTTGACAGCCATATTGCAATATTTAATGTATCAATTTTAGCAAAACTCTAATTTTCAAACAGGTGGCAACTCTAGCAGTGGCCACATTGCGTGTTTGTCACTGACACGGTTTATGTCAAAAATTTTGAAGTGAAACTACCTTCTAAAAATTATTGTATCATGGGTATTTCCATGGAAGCGTTGAATATTTTTAGATAGAAAGTAAGCGTGGCGATTTATGAACCACCGTCGAAGCAATGAAAGTAATTTCCCCTTAGTACAATTATATTAAATTCATTTTATTATATATTATATTTAATTCAATTATATTATTATTAGGGAAATGTTTAGTTATTGGCCCACAGTTTTGGGGGTGGCCTCCTAAACGTCTCCCATTCCCACTTTACGACATTACAGCTGAAAAGTTGGTAGATCTACCAATAAAGTGGTGAAGTCCATGCACCGGGTCAGCCATTTTTTGTAGGGCTAGTAGAAAAAAGTCGAAAAGTCATCGAGTGGGAGTCTATTCTTGTCGTTTTGAGGCAGCTGACCTCGATTCCAAAAAATCGAGTTTTTTCAGCAAAAAACCGATTTTTGACTAATGTCTGAGTCGACATTTCCATTCCGAACGAAGTGAATTAAACTGGCTACACACGACGAACATCTGCGCGCACATATGCGCCAACATGCTCGCTGTCGTTTGCTACAGACGGCGAGCGGCTCATAAGTGATTTTGTACTCAAAGCGTAAACATGGAAAGACGCGGATGATGCAATTGCAATGCTTTTAACTTAACTTTTTTATGTATGTGTTACTTAAATTTATTTATACTTTACTTGTATGTACGTACATACATATACTTATAGTAATTTAGCCTCATTTATCAAAAATTCAATTAAATAACATGGCTTGGATGCATTTATCCGCCGATGTGCACACTTCAAGCATCAACACCTCAGTATATCCAGTAGAAAAACTGTGGTGAAGTCCTTTATGGGGATAAAGTTTCCAGAGGTGAAATTTTAGGTAGCACACAATTTCTTACACGCATGGTTGCTTTTCAGCACTCATGAAAGAAACTTAAGAAATATTTGAAAAAAAAGTTCATATAGTACATTAATTTTGAAAGAAATACCATATAATGTATGTACTCTGGTTAATAATATCAAAAAATGTATTAGAACCACCGTTTAATGTTATATTTGATTCAAATTAATATTGCTGCCCCGAACGCTCTGCGCCTTGCCACTGAATAATAGGTTTACTTAAAATTACATCCGTGGTCCTTGTTCTTTCTGTATCGCATCGTGGTGAATTCACATTTCTCAGAAATTTGACAACAAAACAAAACAAAGCGAGTATTTTATTTGCTAATTTTTGCGATTTCTATTGTTTAATGTAAATTTGTCTTTTTAGGATATGTCGAGCCAACGAAGAAGGCGCAGTTGGAAAATTGAGTAATTAGTAATGAAGTAGCAGGCATATTTGGAAAATTATGCCGATAAGCAGGATGGAATTTGGGAAAGTAAGTGCATGGTTGCAGCATATCTATGTATAAAAAGTATTTAATTAAATCGTTTATAGAAATGTTATAAATCGAGTGGCTCATTTACGATGTGCTCCAAACATTTGGCGAACTTTTTTTCGCCTTTTCAGCGTGCTAAGTAACAAGTTAAGATGACTGCCATCACGGCCGGTAAGAAACCGCAAGCAAAGGGCAGACAACCTTCCAGGAACCTGCCTCCTGTCCCCGAGCCGAAGCTGCAGTTCTGCAAGAGCAGGTCAGCAAATTGCTACCCTGATCAAACGTAAACTAAAGCGCACTGCTGTGATTGCACTCCGTAAATGTGAAAACTTGGTGCATGCTGAGAAATATCAAACAAGAAAACTCCGTGATGGACGCCGTGAGATGGAGTAGCGCTGTGTGGCAAAGAAATACGGCCAATTCGACGGGCCTGAAAAATCCAAATTGGCCTTTGTGATCCGCATCCGCGGTATCAACAAAGTTGCACAAAAAGTGCGTAGTTTTACAGTTCTGTCTTCGCCACATTAAAACGGTGTGTTCATCAAATTGAGCAAGGCAACCATTAATATGCTACGTATGCCGAACCCCCTATATGGGGTTATCGAAATCTTAAATCAGTTTGTGAATTGATGTACAAACGTTGAATGGTCAAGCGTGTCCCAATCTCTGCTTTGTGATCGAACGCAAATTTCGCGAAGCGCACGAAAATCAGTGCGTTGATTCACTTCACTTCAAGAAAGCCCCCAACTTCCTGTTGCTATTCAAGCTCAACACATCAACCCGAGGCTGGCGCAAGAAGGCTAATCACTACGTTGAGGTTGGTGATTTCGGTAGCCGTGAGGATAAGATCAACAAATTGCTGCACAAGATGGCTTAAAGAAATTGTTGTTTTGTATTTAAGTAGACAATATAATTTGGCACATCTTCAAAAGACGCCCAAGCAAAAAAAAAAAAAGAAAATTAAAAAATTCCTGAAGTTGTCTTTTCACGGGTCGATTTCTGTCGACTGGAAAATTTACTTAAGATATCGACTAGCCAAAACGCTTATATTTTACGGTTGAATTGCAATTTACACGGGTAGATTTTGGTTAAACGACAAAAATCGACCGTGTAAAGGCAGCTTAAATAACGTTCAAATTAATCACCCCCTTTGAGATTGAAAATACCAATAACCATTTCATAATTTCGAAAATTATTCCATTTATATTTGTTCTTGCATTTTCCACACCACTTGTGAGGTATGCTTTTACGCGCGTTACCGATTTTTTTTTTAATGTGCTCGGTTGCCCAGGAGGCCTATTTTCACCTTTACAACTTAACTTAAACAGAATTAAAACTAAAACATGCAATATATATAAAGAAAATTAAAAGTTGTCTTACATCTAGTAAACTTAAAAAATTGCACATTAAATTCATTTTTCATTATAAAATAAAATTAAATATCACAATTCAGTTTACAAAATGTGGTCTGTTTGCACCCGCAGTAAGTTCCCATGAAGCCTAGCCTAAATTCAGAATTGAAAAAAAAACGAGCAAATGGGGTCGGAAACTACTAGCCCTAAAAGCATAATGTGGAAAATGTTTGAAGAGCTGCGAAATTGTATTGCAATAATAAAAATAACAGTGCATAAATTGGAAAAAATGGTTTTTGTTTTGCTTTATAATTTTTGGGAATATTGGTTCAGATGGAATTTTTTTATTTGTTTGGTTTTTCAGCTCGTTAATGAAGCACCCAGGGTTGCACTTACTGTCTATGAAAATGTTTCGTGAAGCGTTCCAAAATTAGCTCCGAGCAACTAAAAGTTGGTTAAGCTTAAATGAAATAGTTTTTTATTAAATATTTATTCCTGGTATTTAGTAAAAAACATCAATACTAATGTATGAAAAACAAAACATCAATGCTAATGTATGAAATGAAGTAAATAAAAATCTACGAATACATTCCATCAATATTTTGTCATAGAGCCATTATTAAATTTAGACATAACTTTGTCAGGCGTTGGTACCTACGTATATAGAATTAATGCGTTGGAGAGAGATAAATATACAAGTTCAACGCGCTAATTTAGGTATCCTTGTATGTATATACCTGTTACTCGTCTGGCATATACTCCAACAACGAAAATAATGACAATTATAATTTATGTAGATCCCTGGATAAAAGATTGTCACAAGTTACTTTCGGTAACTCACGATTGAAGTTTGCAATGCAATTTCTCAGAAACACGACTAAAGATTTTCTCCAAGTGTCGGAGAATGCTATGTACTAGTTCATGAAATTCTTAAATTATCTTATTTTTTTTAGTTTAGTGTCAACCATTTATGAGTTTAATAAAATTTTGTCGTATACGACATTTGTCAAAAAATTTGCAGTCAGTTTTAGTGATATACGCCAAAATGTGATAACAATTTTTATAAATTAACCATACTTTTTACTAATCAGCCTAATCGTGAGTTTCGCCCGAACAAAATTTCGCCAACAATTTTTTCATCCACCTGTAGTGAACACTCGCAAACGAAAAGTGACCCGGTTCTAGAAAATGAAACTCATGATAAAGATGAATATGTCGGAAACTAAAGAAGAACAGATAACTCTATTTGAAAGATCTTGATTAGTTTAGTACGACAGCAATACTAACGCAATTTGTACCAAATAACCGAAAAAATTTTAGTCAATTAGGCGGAAACTAAAGAAGATATCCAAAAACCACAAATTGTCAAAATGACGCTTCCGGTAATTTTCCATCCAGGCGACGATATTTGAATAGGTTTGTATGGTTACCAATAGTCAGTATTAATTTGTACTGGAACCTGCAAATTTTTACTAGAAAAGTGTATGATAACCCAAAATATTTGGAAGAGAGCACTGAATCGAGAGCGTAACAACACGAGAGCTGCAAATTCTTGCTAGTGAAATTTTTACTAGCAGAAATTAGCTTGCAGAAGAAAAAGAATAAATGTCAAAAGCCCCCATTTGTTGAATTGAAAAAATTGAAAAATTTTGTTTGAATTTCTATACACCCTCTTACAGATTTTGACAGTTTATGCCGCCAAAGCAAAAACAAAATACATGTAAATTTTTGTTTTTGTACTCCTGCAATCACCTTATATTGATTCGCCTTGGCACAAACAAAAGTAAAATGAGTGGAAATAAAAATATTAATGATGTACTGGACAGTGTTAGTGCTTGTGTGTAAGGCAAAGAGTTTAAAACTGATTTAGCAGTGCAACAACTGTTCACTTGCAAGTTATTGCTAGTTTTGTGTTCAATAAGTTCTTCTGCTAGTTTTCTCTTCTTCTCAATTTAACGCTCTATTTTGCTTTTACGCTCTCGCTGCAATGTTACTGTTACTATACAAACCTAATGTTACTCGCATATTTTCAAGCCTGTATGTAAATTTTCGGGAAAAAGGTTAAAAAGTGTATTCATCTGCTGAAAAGATATTTTCGCAGATTCACAATTTATTTAAAATAAATCTATTAGCCCAATCTCCAATTCCATGTGAATAAATCTCCCCAGTGCTTAAAAAATTTTCACCACATTAAATAGCTGCACAACACCCTAATTGTCGAAAAAGCGTTGCTTGCAACACTAGTCCTTTATGGGGACCAAACTTGGCGAAAAAAAAAAGCTAAGTTTGTTTACTGGATATACTGAGATCAACACAAAATGAGGTTGTTGTTTTTGTTTCCAATGCGATGCTCGCATACCCAATAATGATAGAATACAAGATTGCGCCGTCCTGGGCGTTGACATTTGTGTACCACAAGTAAACAAAGAATAGAGCGAAAAGAAGAACGAGTTGAAACTGCCAAAGCAGTTCAACTTATAGGATTATCTGCTTGATAAAGTTATCGGTTTAGATGAATAGCACTAATAATAATTGTTGATAATGTAATTTTTTAATCGGTTGTTTCATTCATACACATAGTTTCTTTCCGTTTTATTCACATGGCGGCAAAAAATGACGTCGGTGCGAAAAAGAATACTTGTTTATTCGTTCGTTCATGAAATAATGCTGCCAAAATTTGTTCTCCTTGAACCAATACTGCAAAAGTCAAAAGCGCTAGGAAAGAGAATACGCTATCAATTAGTCTGTTCCTTTGAACTTCGGACTAAAACCTGTGGAACTGTCAAACTACAATTTTACTCTCTCAAATGAGAGTAAAAGGAGAACAGATGCAGAAGTGCATAGGAACGCAAAAAGCACTATTTCCTGTAAAAACGTCAGTCGGTTTGTTTACATGTCATTTGTACAACACTGATTTAGCTGAAATATCACTAAATAATTATTAAAATCTATACATATTCAAACATTTCGTTGTTTACTTCCATTTTTTTACAAATATAAGGTACTTTGCTTTCACCGCTGTTTGTTTTTGCTTGCACATGGAAATCAGCTGATCGTTTGACACTTTTCATGAACTTACAGGAAAAGAAACTCCGGACTAAATCCTGTAACTTCTGACTAGGAACAGTTGCTCAGTTACTCTCTCAAATGTGTTCCCACTTACAGGTTTTATGTCAATAGGAACGACTTCCTGTAAGTTCTGACTAAATCCTGTAAACCGGACTGCTATTGGAACGGACTAAATAAAACGATAGTGGCGATAGTACTAAAACTATCAATAGTTATTTCAAGTTACCAGACTATCGATAGTATCGTCGATAGTTTGACAGCTCTACTTCGCAGACATCGATGCATCATTCGCAACTCTATTTCCAAAACAATTTACTGCCGCAATTACCATAAACAAATAACACAGTTTCTTAAATATATAAATGTAAATTTATAAGACTTGGCGAAATTATTTTAGAATTGGAGTTGGCGCTGTAGCCTGAGAGCTGGCCAAATAAATCTTCTGCCTGTCATACAGCTCAGAAGTAACTTAAACCCCTAAAAAAAGAAACAATTTATCGCACATTAAAAAAAAATGTTTCTACCTTAGATATATGGCAGCTACTACAGTGCAAAAGTTTCATTGTGGCGAAGTATTCGTTTCCGCCAATCTTTGCGTGACCGTTGAGTGTAAGTGGTGCAATGAAAAATTTGGTGTCTATAGTAAATTTTTGGATCATATATTTGGAGAACACTTCGATGATTGGAATTCAGCAGAAGAAACAAAGCGCCAACTTCCAAATAAAGTGGAAACTGTTACCGACGAGGATTTTACTGAGTCTCCCAATGAAATTCAATATATAGAAATTGAACCCATTAGTTTGAACGAATATTCTTTCGAAGGTGACGAACAAGAGGAGGATTTCATAACAGAAAAGCTAGCGCCAATGGATGATGACGCGATAAATGTTTCAGAAAATATAACCGTAAGCTCATTTGATTATCAATGATCCATGTACATACATCGTATACTATTTTTCCAGGAGGAGCAAGAGGAGAAGCGTACTCCTAAAACTTCGCAACCCACTTGGCGACCGGTGCGAGTATTTGCGACTTATAAAAATTCGACAGCCATCGCGGACAAACGAAAATATAAATGTAAAATATGCGGCTTCGCTGTAACTGACATTCACAACTTACGCGGCCATGAGAAACGACACAGTAATATAAAGCCTTACACTTGCCTAAAATGTGACAAAGCATTCTATACGCGCACGGAATTGAACACGCATACTAGACGGCACAATGGCGAAAAGCCTTTTGTCTGTTCATATTGCGGTAAAAGTTTTATAACCGCTGCAATATTAACTAGACATGAAAAACGGCATCTTGGCAAGAGGGAACATAAATGTGATCAATGTGAGAAGAGCTTCTTTGATGGTTTTCAGCTTCGAGATCACGCTGTTGTGCATACCCAGGAACGTAATTATGAGTGCGAGACATGCAAAGCCAAGTTTACTCGCAAAAAAACGCTCAAGACACATATGAAATTGCATGAAAATGCGTTAGGCTATCAATGTATCATCTGCCATATGCGTTTCAACCAGCGACCTACGTTGCTTTGGCATGTGAAGACTAAACATAGCGTACTGCGGTCAGATGCAGAAAGCAAAGACTCAATTACGGCTACTGATTCTATCGGAGAATCTAACGAGTCAAATTAATTTGTAATTGCATACGTATTTTTGTTGTATTAAAATAATTCAACACAAATAAAACGGGTCTTTAAATCAAAGGCTTTGTTCCGTGTTGCGTGAAACTGCGTTAGGCTATGAATGTATCATCTGCCATATGCGTTTCAACCAGCGACCTACGTTGCTTTGGCATGTGAAGACTAAACATAGCGTACTGCGTGCAGATACAAAAAGCAAAGACTCAATTACAGCTACAGAGAATCTTACGATCAAATTAATTTGTAATTGCATGCGTATTTTTGTTGCATTAAAATAATTCCACACAATAAAACGAGTCTTTGTTCGACATGCTTCGCGACCTTGGTCCTGCAAAAATATTAAAGCTGGGTTATGCAAGACTTAGTCTTGACTTGCCTTACCTAGAAACTTAGGTCAGATTTTCGAAATTAAAAATGGCGGCTCCTATATGCTGACCAAATTTTATAATTTTTTTCATTTTCAGCGTAAACTCAGGAAGTTTTCGAGGGCGATGATTTCGAATCTGATATCAGATTTTATTAATTCAAAATGGCGGATCCAATATGGCAGGCGAATTTTATAATTTTTTTCTTATTCACCAAAAACTTATATAAGAGGGCTTTTCGAATTCGATGATTTAAAATCTGAGGTGGGATTTTTGAAATTGAAAATGGCGGATCCAATATGGCGTTATCGGAAAAAAATTTTAGCTTAAACTTTTTTTAGCTTTTGCATTTTTCACCTACGTACTTGCAATTTCCTTTATGTAGTTGTTATATTCTTCGGATGTACTCCCTCTAATAATAGGTTCATTCCTTATTTTTTGGACTAAAATCTGAAAAGTGTCAAAATGCCAGAGCGTAAGCAAAATGCGCTTACCAAAAGAGAATAACAGGAAAAGTAAAGGAACGCAAAAAACCAAATTTTTAGTCCAAAGAATGGCAACAACAAAGCTAACGTCAAATAAGTAGTCTGTTCCAATAGCAGTCCGGTTTACAGGATTTAGTCAGAACTTACAGGAAGTCACTCCTATTGACATAAAACCTGTAAGCGGGAACACATTTGAGAGACTAACTGACCAAATGTTCCCGGTCAGAAGTTACAGGATTTAGTCCGAAGTTTTTTTTCCTGTAAGTTCATGAAAAGTGTCAACCGATCAGCTGATTTACATGTGCAAACAAAAACAGAAAGCAGTGAAAGCAAAGAACCTTATAAGTATGTTCCTTTGAACTTCGGACTAAAACCTGTGGAACTGTCAAACTACAATTTTACTCCCTCAAATAAGAGTAAAAGGAGAACAGATGCAGAAGTGCATAGGAACGCAAAAAGCACTATTTCCTATAAAAACGTCAGTCGGTTTGTTTACATGTCATTTGTACAACACTGATTTAGCTGAAATATCCTTAGGCTGAAAATAGCCTTAGGCTGTGTGCGAGTTTACCTAAATTTTAGTACCTAAACTAATATTCCACTGGGGATTTCCAGCACTGCTACAATTTAGGAAAACAGCTGCTAAAACTGTGCGAGTTCATGTTACTTTTAATAAATACATATATCTATAAAATAAATAATTTTGCGGCAGCTTTGGGACTATTTAACAATATAATAAATTTGCAACAGAAAAGGGCAATGTTCCATTCTGAAATCTGTCAAACGAAAACAAGTTTTCGCTGAAAACCACTTGAAAACTCACGTTCCACTTAATCCAATCGGTGTCTGCACTAGTTTTTTTTTTGGATTATTTATCGAAGTGGAAGTCATATTTTATCATCTTTAATACGCCATTTCGGATTTATTGTTCTAACGACAGATAAATTAATATTTCATATCAATAATTGCATTAAAAACGATATTTCTTGCCCGCGCTTGATTAAAAAGGAAAAATATTTCACATAATTTTATTTATTTGCAACAGCTGACGAGCGACGCACGCGAAAATTTGAGAGTTGGCCATCTTTTTGCTCCGTGTTGTCGAATTTTGGCTGCATTTGAGTTCATGTATTCATAGTCAGCTGTTGAAGCGACGCCAACGCCAACGCAACGCCGAAGTTCTATGTGGAGGGCCTTTATCTGGCATCAGCTTAAATGTTTTCGATAATGAAAAACCATCGATTCTATCGATAATGCCATCGATAGTTTTCCAGCACTATTTATTCGGGAACTTTGATCCGGACGAGTAACAAATAATTATTTTCCAATGGACCACGTATCTGGAGAACACTTCGAGTATTTAAATAGACCAAAAAAAACTAAGCGCCAGCATCATAAGCAAGTGGCAACTGTTACTGAGGAGGAATTCACTGAGTCTCCCAGAGGTATTGAATACATAGAAATTGAGCCCATTAGTTGGAACGAATATTCCTTGAAAGGTGAGGAACAAGAGGATTTGATAACAGACGATGACGCGGTGAATGTTACAGTAAGTATAACCGTAAGCACATTGATTACAGTAATACATTTCGCACATTTGCTGCAGAGTCAATCCAAAAAATCAAAAGGTCAAGGAAAACCATGATTTAATAATTTTATTATTATTGAATCATGAAGGAAAACGGCTTTAAAGTTTAGAATTTACATACATATTTCACAGCAACGAAATTTTTGCACAACATGGAGCAACGGGTAGCGGACATTTCTGCATATTTAACTGGATTTTGAGTTATGACACTTGCAGGAAATGTGCGGTATATATGTACATTATATACACGATTCTTGCATCATATACTATCTTTCAAGGATGAACAAAAGGAGGAGCCCACTCCTAAAACTTTGCAAACTTCTCGGCGCAAGTTGCGAGCTTTAGCGACTTATAAAAACTCGACAGCTATCGAGGGAAAACGAAAATATAAATGTAGAATATGCGAGTACGCTGCAAATGACATTAGTAACTTGCGAGGCCATGAGAAACGACACAGTAATATAAAGCCTTACGGGTGCCTAAAATGTGACAAAGCATTTTATACGCGCACAGATTTGAACAACCATACCAGACGGCACAATGGAGAAAAGCCTTTTATCTGTTGTTATTGCGGCAATAGATTTGTAACCGCTGGAATATTAAATAAGCATGAAAAATGGCATCTTGGCAAGAGGGAACATAAATGTGATCAATGTGAGAAGCGCTTCTTTCACGCATCTCACCTGCGAAATCACACGGTTGTGCACACCCAGGAACGCAATTATGAATGCGAGACATGTCAAGCCAAGTTCACCCTCAAGAGATCGCTCGAGCTACATATGAAATTACATGAAAATGCGTTAGCTTATGAATGTATCATCTGCCATACGCGTTTCAACCAGCGATGTACGTTGCGTTCGCATATGAAGACTAAACATAAAGTACTGCGTGCGGATGCCGAAAGCAAAAACTCTGTTACAGATATTGATTCTATCGGAGAAGCTTGAAAGTCAAATTAATTAGTAATTAGTAAGCATTTATGGTAGCCTTGATTAAAGATTGTCGTATGTTTTTCGACAAGTTTTTGGAAATCTCTAGTGAACTTTGGAATGCAGTTTCTCAGACACGCGAAGATAAATATTCTCCAGAGAATCGGTGAGAGTGTTATATTAGGTCCCAAAATTCTTCAATTATTTCATTTTTATTGTTATATAATTTTGAGCTTATGAAGCATGATTCAAAAATAATTATTTAATTATTGAATCATGCTTATGAAGGTTTCTTTAGAAAATTTTGTCATATGCGAATATCGGTTCGTAATTGGGGCGCCAATCACGAATGAGAGAGCGAATTACGAATGGGAGAGCGAATCACTTGCATCGTTTAGACTGCGTTTTGTCGACGCGATTTTTCACTTTCCCTTTTGGTGTTGCCTATTTCATTTACACCCGATTTACATGATTCAAGTACTTGAAAGCAATTCTTGCTCAT